ATACTGAATTTGATGCCCTTCCTTGGCTACCACACAGAGGTTGAAGTGATGGGGTCTGCCCTATTTTGTGCCACATTTGACAGGCATACCATCAAATGATGGACTTGGCAAAATGGGGTAAACCCAATCCAACTCCTACCTCTCCCCAGTCCTGTGGCAGACTCCATGTGGTACCTCCTTGCACACCTCAGCTGAGACTGGCACCTCAGGATAAGTGGCATGATCCATTGCCTGGTGTCACTGCCAACCTTGCTGGCCCTGATATACTGAGGCTGCCAGGGAGCTTTAACCCTTGGCACTGCATGTCCAAAATCTGGGCACATGACTTTGCCCAATATCACATGAGGGGAGAGGGGTGGGCATCGTTGGTAGGAGTTACCTACAACTGTGCCAGCAATGCATTGGAAAACTTAAAGGGGCAATGCTGGAATGGAAAATGACCTGATATTACAGCAGTGACTACATTTCAGATTAAATACCTTATTGGGTGCAAAGTGATTGGAGTATTTGGAGATCATGAAGGGTGCCATACAAATGCAAAGTGAAAGATTATTGGGGCTTGAAGAAACATGGGGCAAGATTTTCCAATAATGCTTCTGTGTGAAGGTGAACAAGAACGAGAGGTGACCTTATTGAAACATACAAGATTCTTAGAGGACTTGACAGGGGAGATGTGGAGAGGTTGTTTCCCCTCGTGGGAGAGTCTAGGACCTGAGGGTACAATCTCAGAATAAGGGGTCACCCATTTAACACAGAGATGGGGAGGAATTTCTTCTCTCAGAGGGGAGTGAATCTGTGGAATTCTTTACCACAGAGGGCTGTCGAGGCTGGGTCATTAAGTATATTCAAGGCTGAGAGAGACAGATTTTTAATCAGGAAGGGAATCAGGGGTTGTGGGGAAAAGGCAGGAAAGTGGAGTTAAGGATTATCAAATCAGCCATAACATCATTGAATGATGGAGTAAACTCGATGGGCTGAATGGCCTGAATCTGCTCCCTATGGTCTTAATCTGTTAGGAGGCAACGAATGTGCCACCATCACCACTGAGAAAATGGCCCCAATTGCCCTTCAATTGGCTCACTAAGAGCTGGCAGGCAAATGAGGATCACTATTTCACCCCATCCCTGGCCTCCATACTGGATATCTTAACAGAGCGTCTGGATCTTAAAGTCTGCTGGGTGAGGCCTACTCCTCGGGGGATCCAGCCAAAAGAAGTTAATTACTTTTAATATTCTTCTCACAAAATGGAGGTTGCAAGAAGAAGAAGCAAAGGCAGAGGGGTGGCTTTCAGAAGTTAACCCCCTTTGCCCATGTTCTATGCCTCTTTTTGCTTCCCAGATTGGGGCAATTGAAAGTCCTCCTCCAACCCCCACCCCTGCCCCAAGCTGGCAGGCAGGTTGCCATGGTTTCCCAGGAGGGAGTTTAGCCACATTTCTTGCCCCCTGGAGAGGCAGGTAATCAGAAAGGTGGCTAGCTGACACCCTTAGGTTGCCACTAACTGATGACAAAATGGCTTGAATAGCTGGTGAGTGAAGCAAGTCACCCAAGGACCTGCTCACTATCTCCACTCACCAAATTCCCCTACTGACCAGATCTCTCGTCAGCTCCACCAAGGGCAAAACTGCCCCTAAAGTGTTCTTTCAAAATGTTCTTCTCTCAGAGTGTCGTGAATCTTTTGTGCAGAGGTGAGAGATTTTTTTGTTCATTCACAGGTTACTCCAGCATTTATTGCCCATCTCTCATTATCCAGAGGGTAGCTAAGAGTCAACCATGTTTTGGGTTTGGAGTCACATGTAGGCCAGACCAGGTAAGGATGGCAGATTCCTTCCCTAAGGACATTAGTGAACCAGATGGGATTTTCCAACAATTGTTGGAAAGTTTATTCCTCAATAATGTTACATAAAAACAGCCAGATGATCTGGTCACGATCACATTGCTAGTTATGGAAGCTTGCTATGCACAAAATTGTCTGCTGCCGTCCTACATTACAGCAGGGACTATGTATCTAATTGGCTGTAGGGCTTTTTAACCCATACTGTGTTCATGAAAGATGCTACAAAAATGCAAGGTTTAGTTTCTTTCTTTCAGTGCTGCCCTGAACACCGAGGGCTCAGGTGCAGCCACTATGCTTCCTTTTGATGCCAGCCACCAGTTTAGGTTTATTTGATGCCCTCTTTACAATTCCTGGCTCTTCATGATTCGGTAGAGAAAGACGGGGGCAAAGAGGTGCGCAGGCAGCCAACAAGAAGTATATGAGAGAATTCTGGGACAAGAGAGGCTGCCATTTTGTGACGCTGAAGCCTGGATTCCTGCTCAAACATAAAAACAGATCTTGTACCTGGAACTGTTAGACAGTTGGGCAATTTCATTAATTCTGTGGTAGGAGAACCACAGCTCCTGTTCACAATGCTCCAGGTGTGGTCTCACCAAGGCCCTGTACAATTGCAGCAAGAATTCAAGAATTGCAGAGGTCTTGGAAGGTTGTGAGGCTGGAGGGGATGACGGAGATTGGGAGGAGCAAGGCCATGGAAGGGTGAAAGAAACAATGGAGTTGAAATAAAAAAATTGAAGAGTTTGTGGCAAGAGAGTCAGTGAGCACTGGGCTGATGGCTGAATAGGGCCTAAGGTGTAGGCAGCCAGGTTGGATAAGCTCAGGAACATGGAGGTTGACCTTCTTGGTTCAGGTTGGCTGAGCGGGCACAAGGGGGTAAAGTTCATCTGGGATGTAGGTTAGGACAGGCGCCAATGAATCATCTTGCACTTGGCCGACTTAAATGTCAACAGTAAATCACATAGAGTGCCAAACGTGGGGATGGTCAGTGCCCATTTTGCACTGCAATCCATGATGGATTTCAAAGCTGTTTACGTGGCTTTGCACAGCAGCGATACCCTGACATGGATGTGTTGGAGCAAGAGGTGAAAAACACCAGAGGACAAATTCCTCACCCGCTGCTACCTTGTTCCCCATTAAAGCAACCAGGCTTTTCACTTTACTGAGACCCTGATCCTGCACCTTTCAGATGCCCGTTGCAATCACACTGCTCAAAGACACAGGAGGCACGATGCTCACTAACGGAGGAGGCACGTCACTGAGGTGAAGAGGCCGACCTCAGCCCCTCCTTCAACTAAACCCAATGGAGGTTGGACACCAATGCAAAAGCCTATCTGACTTCCAGACCATCCCCAAGCACAAAAACTGGCTTTCATCTCTTTATATTCATAATCAATCAAACTTCTTGTTGCTGCACAGTTTGGTTTGTATCGCGAGCTGGCGGCTGACGGGTTGGAAGATAGAGGGCATTGGGTTAAAGATCCAGTCATGAGTCACATAACCTTGCACCTAATGGAGAGTTTAATCAGAGCCTCATGAACTGAATCGACTGGTGATAAAAAGAGATGTTGAGACAGAATTTCACTTTGTGTCAGGATATTTGTGTGAAGGGACTGAACGTTTCAGAGCTGTTGCTTCATATGATAGAGAATAAGTGGAATATTTTCGGGTCAATGGACAACCTTCTCGTGTGCTCTGATTGTGGTGGAGACTGACTTTAATCACATAAAACTTCGTTGACTTTGACACTTGAAGCCTTGGCAGTTTTTTTGTTAACCCTCTCCTGGTCCAACTTCTTTCTCTCGATTTTCCTTCATTTCCGACACCTATCCGTCCAAGATTTTTTTGCAATCTCTGGAGTGCTGGGCATTATTCCACAGCCTGGGAATGTAAAGGAGACCATCGCAGGATATCCTTATGGTTCAGATTATGAAGGACTTTGTTTATTTTTCTCTTTCTCTTTTGAAAGATGAGCAGGGCAACGGGGAACAAGCAGGGGAGGGGGAAGTAAGTCGAATGGCTTTTTCATAGGGCCAACAGGGGCTCTCTCAGAAACCCTAGGTGATTCACAGCACTTTCTCCTGTGCCCCTTCCCCTCCCTGCCACTGCGTACCCCTTGGCACTTCCCTATTCCATGCCCCATATCCCACCATTAACCCACCAACTCCCAGTCCTCTGGCTGTGATCAGATAACCCAGGCACTGAGTAGGCATCAAAGCTGGCACCTTCCCAGGTTTCCTGACCAACCTTTGCAGCATCATACAGCCCGGGACGAGGCCGACTATCCAATTATCGTCCCTACACTTTGCCCATAGCCCTACAAATGCTTTCAAAACCGACAACGAACGGTAATGAAAAAACATTCTGCAAAGCAGAGTGCATTTCATTTACACCTGGAACCAACCAAATAAAAAGATTTGATTTGACACCAAGATGACTGTGCACAGTCCCTTCTGTCCATGATCACTCTCAAATCTGACCAGATTTTTTCAAAGATGCCGAAGTGACCTGGTAAGGATTCCTACAGTGTCTCACAGATGGTGATAGGATTGTGCTAGGCAATTCTCTAACAAAGTTGCTGTCAGACACAGTACCATAGGTTTGTTGAAACCCAGAGAGAAGTCGCAATCACACACAGAAACACTCTCACTGGCAAACTCTCACACTCACTGACACAAACACGCACTCTCACTCACACTCATTGACACACACAGGCTCATTGACACCCTCAAACACACTCTCACTGACTCACATGCACACATACACGCGCACACAGACACACACACACACTCACACACTCACACTCACGCACACGCACACACACACAAACACACACACACACTCACACTCACACACACGCACACAGACACACACACACACTCACTCACATGCGCACACACACACTCACTCACACACACACACACACTCACTCACACACACACTCACTCACACGCACTCACACAAACGCTGTCACTGACACAAACATTCTCACACTCACTGACAGACACACTCGCTCACACACATGCTCTCACTGACACACACACATAGGCACACTCTCTCTCACACACTCACACACACACACACAGACACAAATACACACACACAAACACACACACGCTCATACAGAGAGTCCCACACACAAGATGCCAACAAGGCTAAAGTCACTAACCTCGTACTCTGTAACAACATCCGCACTTTGCCAGGACCTTGCGGAACAAATGCTGGCACGCGCAGCCCGGCCGCTGCTGCCCACCCTTCATGCTGCCTGGTTGGCACTCATGCCAGCCTGCCGTGTAGATTGAAGCACCTTGGCCATATAAGTGGAGGGAATGGGGGGTTCTGCTGTAAGCCTGAAAACTGCTCACTGCAGAGCAGGCACAGCACATGAAGTAACGGTTCGCTTGGCTGGGAGGAGACTGCCTTCACTCTCTCTCTCGCTCGCTCTCTCGCTCTCTCTCTCGCTCTCTCAATCTGTGGCTCTTCCAGCAATCAAGGACCACCCCCTCCCCCGCTCTCTGCAGCACTGACTGCAGATTCTGAGGCCTTGGGAAGGGTTGACAGCACACGAGTTATCTGTACAGCTGGGTAGAAGTCCAGAGTAATCTTCAGTCATTTCACAAGCCTGAACTGATAGTCACCTCAGAGAAAACTCTTCACTGCAATGGACTGAGGCACCATTCCAGCAGACCTGCCTTTGTGTGTGTATACGAGAGACAGAGAGCTTGATGAAAACCAGTATCTATATGAAATAGTCTAAAAATGGAAAGTGTGTTAAACAGATTCAATTTAACCCACTGAGAGGGTCATCCAACAGGATTTTCATGATCCCCTGCTTATCTTCTTTTAAAACAGCTAGGGTTGAAAGCTCCTATAACTCTCACATACCTCTTTTTTTGCTTGTATGCCTTTCTGGAACCCAGACCGTAATATTTCACTGAGACTGCTAGAGTCTTAAAATCTAACTTGAGGAACGTTTAAAGGCACATTGCTCTTTCTCTCTCTCTCTCTCAGCCCACAAACAAATAGTTGTGGAGGTAGCTGCCTTTTCTTTCGGCTCTCAAGTTGAATTAGAAAGAATGGCAGAGTGCAATTCGTCCCAACACATTGGGCCAAAGATCCTGCAATCATATTTGATTGGCCGCTGAACCTGAAGACAAAGTACTCAAAAAAGTATTTATTCAGTGCAAGAAGGTGAGTTGACCCATTGCAAGATCGTGCTGAGGTAGCTGTACCTGAACTTGGCCGACTCAGAACCACATTAAGTTCAAGCGCTCACTTATATTGGCAGACAAAGTTGGTTGTACCAATGACCAAATAACAGAGGATTTTGACCATAAATGCATGCCTGAAACTACTTTTCTTCTTATTTTTCACAATCCCTTGCTCAGGTTCAAGTTTCAATTTGCCCAGATTAGGTCCACAGGAGATTCTACTGACACTGCTGGCTTGGGGACGCTCTTCATATTGTAGTTTTTCTTCTTTAATGTCCAACGATGGTAAGAAACTAACTCATGTAAGCCAACTCAATTAGGAAGTGCTTCATAGAATCCCTACAGTATGGAAGCAGGCCATTCGGCCCATTGAATCCACATCACTCCCTCCAAACAGCATCCTACCCAGACCCACCCCGACCCACCCCCTACCCTATCTCTGTAACCCTGCATTCCCCATGGCTAATACACATCCTTGGACTTTATGGGGCAATTTCCCATGGCCAATCCACATCTTTGGACAGTGGGAGGAAACTGGAGCACCCAGAGGAAACCCACGCAGACACGGGAAGAATGTGCAAACTCCACAGAGACAGTCGCCCGAGGGTGGAATCAAACCCGGATCCCTTGTGCTGTGAGGCAGCAGTGCTAACCACTGAGCCACCATGCCGCCCTATCAGTCTGGTTTGAGTTTTAAGTCATTTTCAGTGAATTCAGTGAGGGGGGAAGATCGTGGTGTTGTAGTAATGACACTGAACAAGTAATCGGGGCAAAGTCTCTGGGGCATGGTTCAAATCCGTAGAATTAAATGTAATCAGTAAAATCTGGAATAGAGACCTAGTCTCAGTGATGGGGTGGCAATGGTAACTATCATCGATTGACGTAAAATATCCATCTGGCTCACTAATGGCCTTTAGGGAAGGAAACTGCTTCACCTGCGCTGGCCTATATGTGACTCCAGATCCACAGTAATGTGGTTGATCCTTAAGTGCCCTTAGAAACAGCTTAGCAGCCACTGAGTTTGGGGACAATTAGGGATTGGTAATATGTCCACAACACTGTCAAAGAATAAATAAAATTACTTGTTATTAAAAATGCTAACTTTTGGTGATCAATCCATTTTAAGGTATATCAATAAATCTGCATCTGGTTTTCACTCTCTGTACCATTGCTGAAAAGTGGCATATTTTGTCAAAGCTTTTCAGTATGTAGGCCATACATCCCAAAGATTATCAGACCATACCAAATAGCACATACATTTGACTGTTCGCAACAAGCAAGGTTTAGACTGTAGACAGAATACAAAACCACGTTTGCAAAACCCACAACACTCCAAGGAGTTGTTGAAGTTGAACACTCCAACATTAGGTATGATTCCATGATTGGACATATGCTAAATAATCCTGAGTGTGTGAAGAATTACACTGGGATGATTGTCAGTGGATCTTGCACCATGGTGCACATGCGTGTATCAGAGGCGACATATAGAACACGGACACGCACTGTGCTTCTTTCAACTCAACAAAATAGGTAACAGCCATTCTCTGGTTTGTTTCTCAGGGCAATGACTTGACCAGAATGGTTTAAAATTTAAACAAAGCTTGGAGGTTAACTGTCAGTCATCATCAACTGTGCATTCTCCACAGGAACACCTCAACCAATCACAGTCCATTTGCCAACCAATCAGCACTTTCCTTTCTTACAATATAAGGTTGTTCTCCACAACTACAACTCTTCTTGCAAATCGTCCTGATGAGTTCAAGGCGAAAAGCATAGGCAAAATGGGTCCATGTTCAGCAGTACTCTTTCCGCCTGACCAAGTGACAATTTAAATTCCCCTTCATGGAAAGAAAACAATTATGTCTGTTACATGACCTGATTGCACTGGTTCATAGAGTCATAAAATAGTACAGTATTTAAAGAGACCATTCAGCCCACTGAGACTATGCCAGCTCTTTGGAACAGCAATCCAATTAATCCTGCTTACCCGCTCTTTCCCCACATCCCTGTAACCTTTTTTTCCTTTAAGCATTTATTGAAGTATCTTTTGGAGGTGCCCATCCAGCTTGTACCCAGCATCCCATGAGGCATGCACTTCACATCCTAACAGGTTTTCCCACACACCTCCTCTGGTTCTATCACCACTTTCTCACTATTTACTCCCTCAAAACCCAACATAACTTAAAACACCTTCGTTCAATCTTATCTTGGCCTTGTTCAGTTCCAGGAACCAAACAGAATCTTGGCGGAAATTTAAGGTCTAACCCAACCAGGATGAGTTCAGGCACTTTCCCAGTACACTTTCTCTGCTGAACCCAAAATTTGAAACATTCATCAAGATCAGTATTCCCTGGCTGGGCGGACTGGTGAAAGAAGAAAGCTGGTAAACTAAAAAAAGGATAAATTACAAATCCTAATCCATCTTTTAGTCAACATCCATGATGCTTGCCGTGGTTAACTAGCTCATTGTGATACCATTCTCTAAGTTAAAGGAAGACAAAGTGCAATTTTCACTGTGCTGAAAACAAAGAAGCATACAGTACAGAAGAGGGCCTTCAGCCCATCGAGTGTATATCATGACATGTCATCATCATTGGCGGTCCCTCACAGACGAGGATGACTCTCTTCCATTCTCAGTGTGAGTCTGTAGGTGGCTGTACAGACCGATGCAGCTATTGCAGGCTCTGTTACACTTGGGGCACATGGTGGTCATGGGAAGGGCTGGGTGGGGCGTCACAGTGGCAGTGCGCTCCTTTCGCCTGGCTTCCGCTTTTTCCCGACAGAAAGTCTCGAGGTTCTTGGAGCGTTCCCGGATGCAACTCCTCCACTTTGGATAGTCTTGGGACAGGTATCTGTGGGAATGCTGCACTTCGCCAGTGAGGCCTTGAAGGTATCACTGAAGCGCCTCCTCTGTCCACCTGGGACTCGCCTCCTGTTACGGTGCTGGGAGTAGAGACCTGCTTGGGGAGTCTCGTGTCGGTCATGCGGACAACGTGCTCAGTCCATCGCAGCCGATCAAGAGTAGTCAGCGCCTCGATGCTGGGGATGTTGGCCTGGTCAAGGACGCTGGTGTTGGTGCATCTTTCTTCCCAGTGGATTCATAGGATCTTGCACAGGCAGCGTTGGTGGTACTGCTCCAGCACCTCAAGGTGTCTGCTGTAGACAGTCCATGTCTCAGAGTCATATAGGAGGGTGGGAACCACCACAGCTCTGTAAATTACTCTATGTATATCATAACTACACAGTGATATGATGCCTATGTTGTTGTCAGTGTTGGTGACACTTGACTATCCTCTGATTTCGAAGATGGCCACTACTCTGGGTCATCAGTTTCTGCTGTGGATCATCAAGTGATTGAAGCCAATTCTTCTACCCAGATCTTTGGACATGTCCCATGAGGTAGTGGGATCCGCAGTGTAGGATTTGCTTCCTCTCCATTCCTTCTGTGCTACTGCTGTTTCACGCAATTAAAAGGTTTTGGCTCAAGTGTGATGCAGCTAAATGGACATGTTGCCGCCATTTTGAATGATTAATAACAAGCTCTTCCCTTGAGCTTTCAGCTTCCTTTGTGTCAAAACTGAGCACCTTGGGGATAGACAGTTTGCAGATGGTGACACAGAGGCTTAGTGGTTAGCACTATTGCCTCACAGTGCCAAGGGCCTGGATTCAATTCCAGTGTTGGACAACAACGTTTGCACATTCTCCCCGTGTCTGCGTGGGTTTCTCTGGGTGCTCTGGTTTCCTCCCACAATCCAAAGATGTGCAGGTTAGGATGGATTGGCCATGTTAAATTGCCCATAGTGACCAAGGATGTGCTGGCTAGGTGGGTTAGCCATGGGAAATGTGGGGTTACAGGGATTGGCTCGGCTGCTCTTCAGAGGGTCACTGTGGACTTGATGGGACAAATGGCCTGCTTCCACACTGTAGGAATTCTATGACTGCAGTGTCATTGTCCACTTGGCAACAGACTGGCATGCCACACTTGATTTCTTTGCTGCAGACAAAAACATTCAACCTGTCCTTGAATACTGCCAAACCAAAACTTAGATATTGTCTGAACATATGAAACAGGAGCAGAGGTAGACCATTCAGTCCATCGAGACTGCACCCCCAATCAATAATATTATGGCTGATCAGTTTGTGTTCCATCTAATCCTGTTAAGTGTCGAACGCCTAATTAACAAGAATCGATCCAATGACCAGAT